AGTCTGTGAAATAATTTGGCTCAAGAAGGTGCTGGCAGATTTAGGAGTGGAACATCCTAAGGCAGCTCTTCTATTTTGTGACAATCAGGCAGCGTTACATATAGCAAGTAATCCTGTCTTCCACGAAAGAACGAAGCATATAGAGTTAGGTTGTCATTTGGTGAGGGAGAAGGTGCAATCAGGTGACATCAAAACTATGCATTTGTCTACACAAAATCAATTGGCAGACCTACTGACGAAAGCTGTAGCAGGAGCTAGATTTAGAACCTTGTTAACCAAGATGGGTGTCTTGAATATCCACTTGCCATCTTGAGGGGGAGTCTTGTGGTCCATTATAGCTGAAGCCAACATGTTTGCTTACTTAGCTTTATTTCCGTTAGGAGTTAGTTCAAAGTTGTTGAGGGTTGCTGAGCTGTCACTATACAGCTGGCAATTAGCTTGTAAATATTTGTGTATATATACTCTTGTAAATTCACTTCCATTGCAATGAGAAAATTCACTTTCACGTGAACCTCTTTCCTTCCAAATCTACTGAGCATCATCTCTGTAATTAGGTATCAAAGTCTACATACAATTCCCTGGTTCATATAAATTTGTAATTTTACTTGGATGCCTAAATAAATTAGCATAAGGATTAATTTTCATAATGTCCACTAACTTTCGAACAATCGGTTCGTTCAACTTTCATAATACGTAAAAGATTTTGTAGTTCCTGTTCAGTGTAAAATCTCTCATCTAATGAATATGAATTTGCAATAGTTTTTTCCTTTGCCTAGCTTCCCCTTGCTAAAACTTTCAACGCTAAGGTGGTTGGTGTGGTGAGGCAAGCAATGATGTAGGACAACTAGTTTTGGAGTTTGAAAAAGTGATGGACGGAAAATTAACAAAACAAGTGTGGGCTTATTGAGCCTATTAAGTGGTTCTCTTTTAACACTTATTTGGCCCCAATTATAAAATCTTCGACAATATCTTTATGTTTATCTTCCTTTAACTGAGTCTATAAGAATGGGACAGGATTTAATTCTAAAAATTTTAAATACAGCAATTCAAAATGAATATTATAAATATTATAATATTTTCGTATAAAACATCACAAACCCTTCAAATTCATTGACACTTTAATAACAATGGCCCAGGGCAGGGTCGGTGGGGGNATATTAATTGATTTGATAAATATGTGGATAAACGTAGTTTGACAGATTATAAAATTTATAAAGGGTGGGTGGACCCTGGCTCCTGGGAGGCACATCCTGCGATTTACCTCTTTCACAATGGCCCAGGGCAGGGTCGGTGGGGGCCCTCAAGGTTGGGGTTCAACCTTTTTTTAATAATTATATACAAGTACTATAACTCAATTTGTAAATAATTATGTTAAGTAGCAATTTTTCTTCGCTGTTTTAAGGAAGCAACAACCACGGGTCAATATATGAAGAAGAAAATGACCGTTGTGTGATTTGAGGACCCAAAAGATTGAAAACAAAGAGAAAAGGGTGGAAAATTTTCACAAAAACTTCTCTCGAATAAAAGGAAATCAATTTTCCCTATTTGTTGAAGTAATACATCACGTGGATAGAAATAAGCATGGTATGTTTGAAGCGATTTTGAAGAGAATTGAATGAAATCAAGAACCATTGAATATTTTGTAAATGTAATCAACGTTTCCAAATATAATTATGGTCAATCCGATTCCATAGCTGTTCTATAATTAAACAAAAGTAGAGTTTCAATTTAGCCAGTTTGAATAGAGGAATGGCTCGCCTATACTTGGGATAAATATGTACTTGAAAATTTGAAATTATTATTTATTGTTTAAATAAGTCTTTTTAATCCCTCTTAACAAAATTATATTTGGACAAAAATCATCGTAAAAACACAAGATATGCTAATTAATTAGAGGTTGAAGATAAGAATATGATAAAAATAGTTGAAGTAATAAGTTTGACAATGAATAAATGTTATACATCTCTTATACAATTAAATTGTGATCGATTTTATAAGAAAAAGTGGTGTCTATATATTTAGTTGAATGGGAAAAAATCTCGAAACTCACAAAATCATAATCTCCCATTTGTAACTTGAAGTGCAAGAAATGATATAAAAATTAAAATTAAGAAATCAATTAAATAAATACCAAAGTGAAGAATTAAAGCAACAACTGATGAAAATTTTGAAATTGTCAACCATTCATCCTTTCTCATGAGAGAATTAAGAAAAATCGTGGTTTCGAAATTTGATAATCATTAATCATGTCATTAAGAATTTTGTTTTTTTCAAAAATCAGGTATTAATTATATTTTTACAAATTTGATATATTTGATTGTCGCTTGATTTTTGAAAAGATTTAGAACTTGTTTGGGAGGGATTAAAATCAGATTAAAATTGAAAATATAGTCGTTGGAGTTGACTTTTATTAGACGAGTGAGATCCAATAACGGCTATATTTTCAATTTTAATTGGATTTTAATCTTTACCAAACGAGCACTAAATATGAAAATCAGTAAATATACTCTAAACCTTTTTAATATGATTCATGATCAACTTTTCANTTAACAAATTTGATATATTTTTAACGTACGATGCTTATGATTTTTTTCGTTATAAAAAAGTGAAGAATTAGGAAGATGAGTGGGGCCGTTGGATTCGTGGAGGTAAAATCTGGTAATAATTAGGTTTTCTTGTACTTGGGTCCGCAGGGATTTCTTGGGCAACTTCCCGACACACACTTATGTCACAATCATTGTTCATGACAAGCCAAAAAAAAAAAAAAGAATAGAAGAAAAGAAAAGAAAAGAGAGAAATTATTCAACTTTCATAAAAGCGCCTTCTAACAATTATATTATTCAACTTTCATGAAAGCGCTTACATTTTTTTTAATAATGTCACAATATTTAAATGAAAATTAAGAAAACAACAAATTCTTTATTTTTGGCTTAAATTTTTTTTTTTATCAACTCTTTTATTATTTTTTGAAAATCTAATGTATAACATCATAATGATATAATAATACTATTTATCACTATGATGATGAAATATCGGTGATGTGGCAGTCTATGTGGAACAATGTGATTGAGTAGTTCAATTTTTTTAGAGAGAGAAGGAGGAGAGAGAGATAAATGTAAAGAATAATGAATTGTCAAATCATCGATATTTTATTATCATGACAATAAATAACATTATTCAGAACATCAACTCACTCCTTGAACTTTAAACCAATAATCGAGTGAATTAATCCATGTTTGGTGTAATTAAAAATTAAATTTTTAATAAATTTTAATAAAAGTTGATGAAATATGTTATTGAAAAGTTGTGAATCTCATAAAACATATGGTTAAAATTAATTTATTTTCTTCTATTTAATTTTTTAGCAAATTTTAAGTCATACCTAACATGGGGAACAAAAGAAAAATCAATTGAAAAGTTATTAGTCAAAAATTGACTATTATCGGCGATAATTTGACTTCTTGATATTAGTTGAACATGCCTTTCTCCATGTTTTTCTGCAGATAATTCGAAGATTACTAATTTACACCATAATATACTTTCACACCATAGAAATATCCCATGAAAGAAAAGCGAAACTCAAAGCTTGAAATCAGAGGACAAAAGTAGAATTAGGGCCCTTTCCAAAGAAGGATCTAATTTCTAATAATTAATATTCCTAATTAATTTTTGACTTTCACACTGATACAATAATTATGTAGTCATCCAACCATACCAACTCAATAATTTTTGAACGAGTTACACTCATTTATATTAGCAACCTTTTCATCAAGTCTCCATGCAAACCCTCCACACTCCATTTTCCACACTTCACATGGCACCGTGAGAGAGGTGATGGGACTTACAAGAAAACACAAAGAAACAACTACTCTTCAAATCGACTTAAAAGGAAATTGGCAAAATCATGTTTTTTTTTATTGTCCACTAGGGTT